CCATCTGGGAAGGTAACATCTTCAGGAGCTGCCCGGGTGTCCCGTTTTACTGCGACGGAGGCGGAGATGGCTGGTTTGCGCACCTCCATGACTGATTTGGTCACTCGAGTAGACGTGGTAGCTGACCGATAAGTGAAGTCAGAAAAGAAATTCATGGGTTGGCTGCAAGCTCTGGGTCGTGCGTGCCACGTCAACCCAGACACCGTCTCCGACCAGGAGTGAACCTTCGGGGAAGTTCCTTTACCTCACTGCTCTTTCAAATTTTAAGCCATGGGGACATGTCTTCATTTTTAAGTGTGGGGTGGGGATTCCTTCATTGTATGTATGTGATTGTATCATTTGACTGTTGGTTTTGTTTTGTTTCATTCTGCTTTGATAATTTTGAGGTTGTTAAGTAGAAATCGTTAGTTTAAAATAGATATATAGATCGTCCCGACGATGGATCCCTATCGACGGGGTTCTTGAGGGACTGAGTCGAGAAAACAAAAGGGCAAATACGTAGACTCTTCCTGATGACAGATCCTTTAGGCAATTTTCTTGAGGGAAGTTAGTCTAGAGAAAACACCAAAAAGATTTTTTTTTCTTTCTTAGATAGTGTAGCAACTCTCCCTTGGTTTTTCTTTAGGCCACGGTTCTTTTCCAATGGTTTTACTTGAACTGGGTATAGGTAGTTTTCTTTTTATTTTGTTTTCTTTTCGATTTGTAAAGTAGGTTAATGGGATATGAGCTAGAGAATCAAAAGAGAACCCATAGCATTGACACACATGAATACAATAGACCCTAGAGTCTAACGCCTAGTCTTATTTGTTGAATCTCACTAAAGTGCCTTAATTTGTATGTTTGTTGCTGAATTGAATGCTCGTAACGGAGCGTCTTGATGAGCTGATCTGGAATAAGTCGTATGCCATGTGTGGTGAGGTTTTTGTATAGTCCATGTATTGTACTTGTGTCTAGAACTTACCCGGTATGTGAGTTGAAGTGAAATTTTAGGTGATGCTCGGTTTGAAAAATGATTTTAGGATTTCTTTGATCTTTTTGAGCTTAATTGCTTGTCACAAATAAAATTTGTTCCTAGTTAACCCTTTTGAGCCTATGGGCTTTTGTTTGGCACCCGCATTACGAGCCTATACCCTTTTTGTTCTTAATTGACATTGTTTTGATCTTTTTACCTCTTAAAGCACTTTAATTGTGAGATGAGCGCTAAAAAAGTAAGAAGGAACTAAATGTGGGGTGGATTTTGAGTGGAACCAATAAAAGGAAGAAAGATGCATTTGTTTTGTAAACTAATACACCACTAGCGGAAATTGAGTGAAACGAGAAAAAAAAAAGAAAAAAAAGAGGAATACATTTTGTCTTGTTCCAGCTAGTGGGTATGAATTAATATAGTGCTTAAAGAAGAAGGGAGTATTTGTAGGGTGATATTGTTTATGGAAGTGAAGTGGGTTGAAGAATTTGCGCTAAAGTTGCTCAAGTGATGTGTTAAAGTGCTTAGGAGGGTTAGTCAATATTCCTAAATATATCCTACCTGTCCCTTAGCCCACATTACAACCATGAAAAAGTCCTAATTGATTTTGGGTCGAGCAAACCTACATTAGTAGAGATTTACATTAAGGGCAAGTGTATGGTACCAATTGCATGCATGTGATTTCTGTTGTGAGGGTGAGTGATTTCTTTGATATATGTGAGCATATGATGCGAATGTGTGGATTGAATTCAATTTTCGTTAATGTGATTGTCAGGGCATATAATTCATGACGGAAAAGCAAGTCTTGACTTCTGTGTAGAGTACGTTGAGGAAGTATGAATATTGCATGGAACTTGAAGAGTCGACTTTTGAGGCTAGGACTGTTCACTGCTAGGCGTAATGTATGTAAATTGTTCTAGGTGTAGGGCGTTAGGGGAAATGGTTGAGTGAAGGAACCTTTAGAATGTATAGTTTGATTGCTCGAGGACTAACAATGAAGTAAGTGTGGGGTGTTGATAATAGGTTAAATCTAGGTAATTTGGGGATTGTTTATGCTCCCACTTGATTATATTCCAATATCATAATATGGTTAATTGATGAAAAATAGGCTCTAATTGTGAATTGTATACATTGCAGGATGAGGAGCCTAGGTGATGCCTTAAACAGTTGTGATTGGAACCATTTTGGAGCAAGAAAAACCCCTCAGAGCTGAGTACGCTTGAAGACGAGGAACAGAAGTGATGAAACACTGAACTGGACATGCGCGTCCAGGTGCGTGATCGCGCTCCTTTTAGCGCGTCCATGACAGAATCTCAGCCAACTAGCGCGTCCAGATGCGCGGTCGCGCTAGTCCAGAATCCGGGAAGAGTTATTTAGGGGCAGAATTGGAAATCTGGAGGAAAACTCACTTAACCTATATAAAGTCAAGCTCGCCCAAGGAAGAAAAGGGATGTTTTTCAGAGTCTAATGCAAGAAATAGAGAGGCAAGAGGCAAGGAGGAGATTTTCCCATCAAGTTCTTCTTTTCTTCTCTTGGTTTTTGCTAATTGGGATGAAATTGAACATATTTGTGATGAACACTAGTATGAGTAGCTAAAACCCATTGTTCTAGGGTCATGGGTGAAACATGAATGTTGTTGTTTGAAGTTTAATTTGACAAAGTTGGTTTATCATATTAGGTTGTTTATTTAATTCTACTTTTAATTATTTTGCTGAGTAGCTAACAGTGAAATACTATCTACGAATCTTTAGTTGAACTCGAAAGTGGGAACTTTAGATTACATATAGAATTAAATAGAGCAAGTTCTTGAACCCGGGCCTCGGGGAACGGATTAGCAATTGGGATAGACATATACCCAATTGCCTTGCTTGGTTGAAGTACAGGAATTGTAAATGCATTCTTGTTAATCTTAATTCCATAGACATATAGGTATTGAGTTAACTTGAATAGGCGAGTAAGGACTCGACAGATTCTTATGAGTAACATTAACCCTGTCAATCAACAATCTAGGTAAATCGATTAGTCGTTTTAAGCTAAGAACATAACATGATTGTTAATCAGCTTGTGACCCTAGAATATCCTCTCATACTGTTTGTTACTCGGAATTGTTATTTGTTTGGATAATTGCTCTAGTTAGATTATTGCTTGGTAATTAGGTAGTAAAATTACATCTCTATTTTGTGAAAAAAAAAACCTCTTAAATAGACAAATTAATTGAGTTTGAATTAGTCAACAGTTAATCATAAGTCTTCGTGGGAACGATACTCTACTCACTTATCTATTACTTGACGATCACGTGCACTTGCGTGAGTGTTTTTGGTTGCAACACCCGGAATAATAATTGTTATAAACATAGTACATCAATAGCTTCTACGAAGTTAACTACTCAACAAGCTGCTGAATTTACATATCTTATTGCTAACAAGCATACTATTAGGCGAAAGAGACAACAAAATCTTAAATGGAAACCTCCTAAATTTTCTTTCTATAAACTAGCCCATAATAATAGTAAGTCTGGTATTGGTGGTTTAATACGAAATGCAAATGCGGAATGGGTAATAGGATTTGCAGCATCAATTACAGCGGAGTCACCAACTACAGCAGAAACATATGCTTTAATGGAAGGACTCCAATTAGCTCTTGATCGTAATCTACTACCTCCGAAAGTAGAAGTGGACTCAAAGGATTTACTAAGATTACTCACTTCCACTAAAGACATACCTAATAATTTAATTTCTGATTGCAGGTACCTCCTGGACAGGTTGGATAAACCTATAGTAATGCATGCGTACAGAGAGCAGAATGGAGTTGCGGACAAGCTAGCAAAGGAGGGCTGCAATTTTGACTTACAATCAATGGTGCATATTTTTTATGTCAGCCCAGTTTTAGCAAGGTCACTTTTTGAGAGGGAAAAGAGTGCAGTGCAGGGACCTGTTTTGGATAATGATAGGCCTAACTCTAGTGATTACAATATTGTAAATATGGATGTTAATAGTAGTAGACCTATGCGTAGTAGTAAAATAGTTGGACAAAATATTATAGCACCCAATGAAGGTGCATATGCTTGTAATAGGATGCAAGGTATGCATCCCGCCTCTGTACGCAATGTTTAAGATAATATGACTTATCTTTTAAATAAATAAAAAAAGAAATTAGGATTATTTAGGATTTGGCTATATAATGCCAATTTTTTTGGGTTACCTTTGCCAAACCTAATATAAGGTTAAAATATTGCCAATTCTCTTTATATTTTGTCATACTATGCCATTTTTTCTATTTTATAAGGCTCATTCTGACCCATTAAGTAACCCAAATACAACCCATGAAACTCACCCAAAACAAAGGGATCTCAACCTAACTTATCTAGAAATTTACTTAGTTGCCCCAATTTTNATAACCCCCTTAAATCTATTTTTTTACTTTTTTTTTGCATTTTCAATTTTCTGTTTTTTTATTTTTCTGCACCACTCATCCACCGTAGCCCCTACCCCTCCCCCACCCCCACCCGCAAAATATTTTTCAACTTACACATTTTAAGGTAAAAGGTTTTTTATGCAAGATGAGCATGATTCTAAAACATGGGTCAAGTTGGGTTATGACCCATTGTTTAGTCCATCTTGACCCAACCCATCCTAGCCCAAGTACACTTTTGGTTGGGTTGGGCAATTACCCATTTATTGACCTAACCCATCTTGACCCATCCAAATTCAGTCCAACCCGCCCATTTGCCCCCCTAATTATCATAGTAATTTTAGATATACGCTAGATGAAGTGAAGTGTAACATGAATTCTAGCATAGAACGCTTCAGACAGTAGTAGCAAATGAGAGCTAATACATTATCCATAATAGCGACCTTGTAACGCCAAGACACCTAGGCAATACCTTAAAATTTGCTATATTACCTGGCATAAGCATGTTGTCTAACGGTTAAGTTTGCCTAATGAATGTTTTCAACAATAGGATTGCAGTTCTCACTTCTCAGCATTTTTGCATTGAATATGACCCTGAAGCCATTCTTATCCGTTGAGAAGCAACTGATGAACAAAAGCTACATTTAGAGTACATTCCACGAACTCGAGAAAGGAAAGATAGCGCAGCATTTGAAACGCAATATACAGCCTGAACTTACAACTATGTTTACTATGTCGAGAAACTGATGTAGAACGAAAAGCAGCCAGTACTAGAGCTAAATAAAAGGTGAATGGTACGGCCACTAAATGAATTTCAACTTTACACCTTAGAAATGAACATCATTATATATCGACTGTCCTCCTCGGCCACATACCTTATCTTTTGCAACTCCAGCGAAAATAAAAGTTGAAAAAGAAAGAAAAGGGATGAAGAAATGGACAAGATGAAAGAGCTGAGGAAGGTGGCAAGTATTTGAGTATTTGTCTATTTCATATGAGCTGGATTATCGTGCATTACCCATATGAGTACATACAGGTGTATTTCACCCACAACTTCTCCGAGCAGCAAGCAGCCAATGTATGGTCTAGTTTCCAATATTTCACCTTCCTGCAGGCTTCACAAAAAGTTAGCAAAATCTATCAAATCGCGGGCGCTAACCTAGAACTAGCACCAATACCATAACATGTTGACTCGAGCTGAACTATTCAGATCATACTTAGTTAAACTACTCTTAAAAGTTGTCACGAAAATGGGAATAACTACAAGTGAGATCTATTACTTGAAGCATGGAACATGGGTATTTAGCATCATACTTCAATTTGATATGACATACATAATGCACAAAGTACAATCCATTCATGGAGCTGGAGAAACATTCAACGGTAGCAAGAACATAGCAGCAACCCACAAGTTCCAACACTGGAGCATCTCTTGCCGCCCCGTTGCCCAACCCTCTCCCCCTCCCTCTCCCTCTCCCTCTGCGGAAAGGAAACCTCATAAAGACAAACGAATGAAATTTCCACCATATACATTGTACTTGGGATGTTCAAATATGTTACATATTGAAAGAGTCCTCTCATTTAAAAGGTGGAACATATGCATCATGACATGGTTCCCATAACTATTCCAGAAAGTCAAAATTTTGACTTAATTATGGTTTCAGCATTTTCTGAGATAGGAGATATACAGATATCTGACTGGTATAATACTGATTTATAGCGATGACAAACCCGTGCTTACCTCTCTATACAACAACAACAACAACAACGACCCAGTGTATTCCCACAAGTGGGGTCCGGGGAGAGTGAGATGTATGCAGCCTTACCCCTACCCTGGACAGGCTGAGAGACTAGTTCCAATAGACCCTCGGCTAAAGAAAAAAAATAAAAGACCGTGCTTACCTATCTATATCATGTCAAAATCATCATCAGAAGCATCGTCCCTATCATCTGAAAAAAGGAACAGATTGTCAGTGCATCTCGATTATTCTCCTTGAATCTGAAGACAATAGCAGCAACACAAAGGTATATCTACAAATGACCCCGTATTTTCTATCTTGAAGAAAAACCAAAGACTTTGGGAATGAAAAGAAAGGGCAAAAAGAAACAATTAAAATAAAAAAGAAACACGTAAAAACAGAAAAGCTGATGCTTTAACCAGTTTAGACAACTGATAACTTGAAAGATAGGCTTGGCGAATGAGGACTCACTAAGCTTTGACCATCTGATTATTCTTCGAGACCAAAAACAGAAACTTCTTATTGGTGGTAATCAGATCATAAATATTTAGATTCTGAGAGATAAAATGGAGATGTCTCATGTGACCACTTGTAATATGCAGACCTATTGGTAACTTTGTAAGCCATTAGGTCAATGCTGCTTGGAGAACAAAAGGCAAACGACTGAAAGGGAAAATACATAAGACCAATTGTTGATGCAAGACAAGCAACCATGTGTACAGTACCATTTATGGCTACGTGAAGACCATAAACTAGATGATAGCAAGGAAAGATGATAATTTGGATTTCAGCACGTAAAAATAGTTGTTCTATAGCTTTGTACCATATGTTGTACATTATCAAGGGTTAGCATCTGATTGTGGCGACAATTCTTGACAGGATTGGGCAAATGGATTGTCCACCAATTAAAATAACTGACATAGGCTAACAGGGTTATGAACGACTCAAATCGTTAATACTTTTTTTAGTAAGTCAATGATCTACAGTACAGTAAAGGAAGAGTATAAAGGAATGAAGCTGGCATGTGTGTTTCTCATTTTTTTCCCCTTTCTTTAATGGGAGAAGGCAGAGATCAAAGGAAAGAATGATGATAAACTGTATCTTTAATGATCTTCACAAATAAATTAGATACTCTTCCTTACACCAGGTGACAAAAATGTGAGATGGTAAATAGAGTACCTGGCCCTTCATCGCTGTCCTCTCCGAGAAGAAAAACGTCCAAATCCTGGTCAGCAGTTGATGATGATGCCTTCTTGTTTGTCTGGGTTGTTGCCCTGGTCACTGGTGTAGAAGTTGTTTCAGCTGATGAAATATCCTTTGCCTCCTCGACCTTTGCCTTCTCAGCAGATCTCATTTTCACTTCGTCCATGTATTTCTTTTCATACCTACACCAAATATAGTTGATTAATAATGAAGCTAACTGCCAGAGAAAAATCTAACAAAAGCATTTTCCAACTATTTGTGTTTGTACTGGTAAAATGTAGGGTTGGTTTAAATTAGGAACAGTGAATCAAATGCTCTCAACCAGTAGAATATGTACCTAACTACCCAAAAAATTTGCCAAAGACCTCCAACAGCTACTTATTTAAGTGCCTAGTCTTATGTCATCCTTTTTAAAGATGCTATAGTTCCTCCAAATTTAAAGCAACAAGATCTGCAATGATGGATTAGCATAACCAGTCCCCCACAGCAGTAAAGGAGATAAGGTTGATCCCTGGATTCATGAATGAATTTTAGAAGAAAGTTGGATTTCATTTTCGTGGCTCTGGTGCGTTGAAAGTCCTAATTTTTTCCAAAGTCATTGTTGATGATTCCTTTTCATTAGAATTTAATCAGAGAATGAGGAAGGTCCTGTTATACATTGAGTAGCAACAATTTTAGAATTGTGCATCTTAAGCTCAAGGTAACAAAATGTTTGAAAAGTGAATAGACTCATCATCAATGACTGAATAGTGAGCGGAATATATTGATCATTCCTAGAATTTAATTTCACTGAGATCAGCATGTTCGTCGCTATAATTACTGCTATCTTCTTACGAACTTTCGTATTTCATCGTTGAAGTATCAGGAAGGATCAGCACACGCAAATAGTGATCAATTTTATGAAGCTGAGAAGAAATATGTATTAGCTCAGCACACAATTTGACAGTCCCATAGGAGTGAGAATGACCAGAAACCTGTAATCTTCAAATGACCGGCCCAGTACATATCTCCATTTCGAAGATTAAAGGTCTCACAATGGCTTTATTCTATATATTCTTAATACATTATCAAAAGCCTCATCTTATACTCCGCTATTACGGCTTTCTTATACAGAAGTCTTTACCCAAATTACAGAAGAACGCATAAAATTATATAATTTAATAGCGTGCATGTTATTGCAATATATTCCAACGATACAGAATAAGCAACACATTCAGCTTGGTGTAAGCCAGGAAGAAGAGATTATTATTTCCTGGAAGATACTTACGGTGCGACATGACTGTTAACTAGAATGAAGTAGATTCTCCAGAACTTTCTCTCTCTCATTATGCGTGGGCATATCTCATACCTCAACTTTGAGATTTCCTGCATACACACACATAAAAGAAAAGAAAACGAACATGTAAATGCTCGTAGTTGTAGTAACTGCAAAATTTATCTTTATCAAAGACACCATAATTCTCAACAGCTTGACCCCTGTCAACTATTCCTCATCAAAAAGGTTATAATGGAAAAAACAGAAAGAGAGCTATAAACTATTCAAACCAGTATATAAACTCTTCCAATGTGCAGGTCACTGAAACATGGTAGCCCTGAAAAGAATTTCTTTTTTTCTTAAAAGGGCGTAGCCCTCAGCACAACTGTTGAAAATGATTTTTTTTTCTTAAAAGGGAGTAGCCCTCCACACAATTTTTGAAAAGGAGTTTTTTCTTAAAGGCATAGTCCTCAACACAATTATGATCTACAGTGACATAACAAGCCAGTTTAGCACTAAGGACCACAAAAATATGAGTCCAACACTAGGTGAGTTTTAAACTCAACAGAACATAAGAGAAGTGGCAGTCAAGATGCCTTGAGATTTAGGCTCGATTGAGGATGGGAGTAAGCAATATAAGAGACTAGAAATATTTTCTATAATGATTTTGACCAGGTAATGACAATGAAAGAGTGAGATGCATACCTTGACAGATGAAAGAACAAGTTTTGCATGTGTTTCCTGAAATTCTGTAAGATCATGCCGAACGTTTGAGATTGTAGGAGTATCATACATCTCTGACTCATCTGCATATCAAGAGAGATTTCATTTAAGCATGTCTCTCCTCACGATAGGCGACTCAAGCAATTGAAAGAAGGAACACGTGATTTAAGCATGGAATGACTTCAGAAATCTAAAGGAAATGCCATTGGTAGCAAATTCAGTAGCATCTTCATTATATTCGGATTGCTTCACAGAATCCCAGCTGACCAGCTCATGAAAAGCTTCCCTGAGCTTCATNCACAAATTCATGAGCTTATAAAAATATAGCTAGCAATAGAGAGACTGTTCCATCTGATTTGTTGCAAGTTGCAGATTAAGCACAATAAATTGAATAAACTTCCAATCAAAATAACAATTTTCCAAATAAAAAATGTACTACAATTTCATTGTCTCGTTTTCAGAGTTGTTGTTTAACTTTAACTTGTTAGCAATGCATGCATTAAAGAGAGGGAGAAAGAGCAGAGCAAGTACCTTGAAGTGGAAATTCGCGGAATGTGTTCATACTGATGCCCTTAACAAACTCTCTCAACTCATCAGTAACTCCGAACTTTTCGTGTTCAGCAACCGAAGGAGCAGCCAAAGCAATTTGAGGGGAAGATGAGTAGTCGACGAGGCTAGAGACGGCAGCTGCAGCAGGAAATTGAAGCTTGATCTGGTCGGCGCGTCTGGAAGCTTCCGCAACAATCTCCTTGGAACGCTTGGAAGCCTCAGAAACGACGTCGGATAACTTGGAAGAACCCATGCTGAGCACCTGTGAACGCTTAACGGCTTCATTAGTGAACTCCTGTGATCGCTTTGCAGCTTCCTCCGCGAAGCTCCGTGCTGTTTGCCACAAATCCATGAAAGCCCTTTCTACGCTTACAAAGGCCTAATCGGGAGTAAGAAGCGTGAAATCCAATTATTCTAATTTTTGGGATTATGTGAGAATTGCGCCTTTCATGCACGGTAAGTCGTAGATCTGGCAAGGCCCGTGGACTAAGCGACAGTGAGCGTGTAGTTGATACACCTTGCTTGTCTTCATCCCATATTTTTTTTAACAAAAAGTGGTGCTTGCTCAAAAACCTGCATTGTATAATTTCCTTCAAAAAGCTCCCTGGTTTTGGTAGCTGATTCGCTAATCTATTTTGTTCTATGTACGCATGGCTAACCATTGGATCATGTAGCTTTCACAGTAGATGTCTGCAATCAGTCAATAGATTAGCGTATATTAAATTGTTAGCATGTAGCGACATTATTACCTTCTTAATATCAATCTCAACGTGAAGTGGTATTAGGTTGTGTAGTACAGCCAATGTAAGTCCATGTAATAATGCATATATTTCTGTGGCAATAGTCGATTGACAAGGTATGTTACCCGAGAAACCTAGAATCCAGTTCCCATTGTGATCTCTAATTATTCCTCCAATGCCATTGGATTCTGACGAGTGTGCCACATCAGTATTTAGCTTATATATGTTAGGTTTTGGTGGTATCCATTTTAGGGGAACCCTAACACATCATTGTATTTTATGTTGTGAAGCAACTAGGTAACAAAATTCAGTGGCTTGCTGGGTAGTAAATTGAATGTTAATAGATTTATGCATGCCTTCATGAACATTCTTGTTTCTGGTGATCCAAATGTTCCACAAACTTAAAGGTAAATAAGTACGTGGATTAATATTGTATGGTAATTTATGGCCTTTGTAATTAAGTAAAGGAAGTAGTCATTCTTGGGGTGTAGTGAAATTAAGCAAACTATTTATATATCATCCCATACCCAGTTCATTCCAGTAATTTTTCGCATTAACACAGGTTAGAAACAGATGACTTAAAGATTCGTCTGCTTCATGACAGTACGCACATTCCGCGTTAGTAATAATGTTGAGATGTTGCAGAAATTGAAATGTTGGTAGCCTATTATGATTAAGTAACCAAATGAAATATTTAATTTTGGGATATACAAGTAGGTCTCATATCCACTTGAAATAAAATATTGTATTGTGGTCATCAGTGGCTTGATTTTCCAAGGCTTTGTACATTGATTTAACCATAAATTTTCCATCAGTTGTTAAAGCCCAATAAATACTATCACCTTGTTTATTGTAAGTGAAAATGTAAGGATTCATTATAAGATTTTTTATGTCATCTGTAAGTTCAAAAGGCAACTTGTTCTAATTCCAAGTATTGGAATTATAGATTGACTCAATCTTTAGTTTTTGATGTGTCAAAGGCAAAGGCCCATTTATTAATAAATGAACAGTAAGCCCAGCCTTTACCCACGCGTCGTCCCAAAAATTAATGTGTACACCTGCTCCAATTTGCCATTGTAATCATAGTTGACAATATTGCTAACCTTTTAGTATGTTACGCCAAGTTGTGGAGTGATTGCTAGAAGATGATAAATGTATGAGTTTATTGATTAATACTTTTGCCCAAAGGTTTTAGGGTGAATGGAAGACTCTCCATGCTAGGTGTCACACCCACTTTTTTACCAAAACTTACTTAACCCTCTTAAAAGATTTAGCAAAGCTTTAAAACGGTTTTCCAATTTTTGAAAGTGACAAAAGTTGTGTTCAAAAGGAAGTATCTCAGAGTCGCCACCTGACATTTGATTTCGGTGTGTCAGGTCACCGTTTTTCCAAAAATAATAATTTTCCTTTTAAAACACTTTGAACTCTTAAACTAAATCTATACCAGAGATTTGGATAAGGGGGTTCATTTGACTCGGGGAGAAGGTGTTAGACACTCCTCAAGTCCCATGAAAGTCACGGTTGCGCACTCGATCAAGTTGGCTTTTAAGACATTCAAATTGAGGTAATAACACACAAGAAGAAAATAAACAATCAAAAGAGGCTCGAGGTCGTCTCCACCTAAAGGAAACAAAATAAAAAGAAGAAAAAGTAAAGTTCCAAATTATCCTACGCTATTTCTTCTACGATGTTCACCACGGCCTCCAATTACAGAATACTACGGGGCATACCCCGGTTAAAAATATATATACGAATCCTTCGGGGCATTCCCCGGATAAATTTAACTAAGGAAACGACCTCTCGCCTCGAATAAGATAAAAGAGAAAAACCTAAAGTTTGCCTACCCGAGTGTGGACGGCCTAAGCATGCTACTAGCAATCCAAACAAATAAAGTAAAATAATTAACAAGATAAATTCAAATTTTTTTTCTTGATGTCCGCCCCACATTTAGAACAACGAAAATACTAATTTTCTTTACTTATGCATGGATCGTAACTAAACAGAAAACAGAATAGACTATACAAACTATATAAAAACAGAAAAGGCCTACAATTCATAACTAGCATGGGTCGTAACTAAAAACAGAGCCTTAGTGCACTATTTAAAAAAAAAAAAAATAACCTTGCTAATAGACTAATAACTCAACAATCACAAGAATCTATAATCATTAAAGTGATGAGAGCTGAAACATTGCGCATACCATCCAAACAAATATACGTATAATCTCAAACGCATACGCATCAACCGGATTCAATTCATCAAAATAATTATAAGAGCACACATAATTAACGAAGAGATGAGTAAGAAATGGACCTTTTATTGATGAACAAAGCTCAAAATTGCAAATCAATCGGGTTAAGCAAAGCAACAATTCATAGACCGAATCACCGAAATTGCAAACCGAAACCTCAAATCGACACCGGAAAGCTCGAAACCCAAATCGATCTCAGTCAAATTCCATCAGATTCCAAATCAAAAATCGGAAGCAGAAACCCAATCCTCTATGTTTATTTGATTATCTTTGATACAATATCAAATTGAATATCTTTGAATTAGCAAATTGCAGCTCCAATTGAAGAAGGAAAAACAAATATGTGTAGGATTTAACTTTTCAGTAGACGTGTGAAAGTTTGGAAAATTCAGAGAAGGAATGGTTCGGTTCTTCCAGTTTTAGAATTCCGCCATTTTTCTTTTTTTAGTTCAAGCCTAGGAACTAAAAAACTTGGGTTAGAGTTTCTATAATTGGGTATTTTATATGAAGGTGGGAAAGGATGATGGTCATTGGATTAGAAGGAAATAGATGACTAGGATTAAATCTTGCACATAAATGGGCTAATGGATTGGAAAGAATGGGCTAAGGATAATTGGGTTTAAGTTAAAAGAAATGGATTCACACCTTTGGGCCAACAAATTTTCTTGTTGGACAAAGACAAACTCAAAAATCCTACCAAAATATTAATTAAATTTAGTTAAGTAAATAAACAAAATTTTAAAATGAAATTTTTTTTTTTTGTATTTTTAAATGTTATAACAATAAAGTAAAAAGTAAAGAAAATAGGCTAAAGGCATGATAAAATTAAGATACCATGAATAAAAATATACTAATTGATCTTAAATTAAAGATAAAAATATAGAAAAGCGATAAACACGATAAATAAAACTATTTTATGTTTTTTTTTATTTATGACTTAGGATTAAAAGTAAAAAGATTAAAATTATATTAAAATAAACTCAAGTAAATATTTTAAAAATATTAAAATACTAAAACTAACTTTAAAGTTTGCTCGGGTCAAATACGTGCTTACAGCTGCCCCTCTTTGCTTGGAAACACGAAGAGTTTTCGGAGCAAAGAACAATAAGCAACGTAATGGATTTATGACCCGACGCTTAATCAAAAGAAAATAAAGGTGGCTAAAAAGATTGTGATCGGGCCCTGGTATTTGAGCTGTCTACATATCCTTGGCTATAAAGGAATCAGGTCACGTGTAGTTCAGAAGTGAATGAGGTGATGGAGTATACTGAGGTGGAGAGCCGGTTGAGGTGCCGTCGAGGTTCCGGTTCGCGGTTCCTGTCATTACATCGAAAATAAAAGAAAAACTTACAGCAAAAGTAAAAGGAAAATACAAGATCCTATCTACTTCTTGTCTTGAATCTTCCGTGAATCTCTACTTGATCTTCAATATGCAACAGAAAAAATGGACTCTGTTCTTCAGGCGGGCTCCTGATGCTTCTTGAATTTGCGAATTGAAGTAACTCTGAAATAAATTCCCTCGTTCTCCAGGTGGGTGCCTGATTTCCAAAACATGAATTGTATTCCCTCGTTATCCAAGTGGGCGTCTGATTACTAACAATTGGAATTGTATCCCCTCGCTATCCATGTGGGCGCCTGATTGCTAAAACTTGAAATTGTATTCCCTCGTTATCCAGGTGGGCGCCTGATTGCTAAAACTTGAACTGTATTCCCTCGTTATCCAGGTGGGTGCCTGATTGCCAAAAACTTAAATTGTATTCCCCCGTTATCCAGGTGGGCGCCTAATTGTTAAAACTTGAAACTGTATTCCCTCATTATCCAGGTGGGCGCCTGATTGCTAAAACTTGAAACTGTATTCCCTCGTTATCCAGGTGGGCGCCTGATTGCTAAAACTTGAAACTGTATTCCCTCGTTATCCAGGTGGGCGCCTGATTGCTAAAACTTGAAACCTTCCCTCGTTATCCAGGTGGGCGCATGATTGCTAAAACTTGAAATTGTATTCCCTCGTTATCCAGGTAGGCGCCTGATTGCTAAAACTTGAAACTGTATTCCCTCGTTATCCATATGGGTGCCTGATTACCAACAACTTGAATTGTATTCCCTCGTTATCCAGGTGGGTGCTTGATTGCCAGAAACTTGAATTGTATTCCCTCGTTATCCAGGTGGGCGCATGATTAAAAAAACTTGAATCTGTACTCCCTCGTTGTCCAGGCGGGTGCCTGATACCAAAAACTTGAAACTGTATTCCCTCGTTATTCAGGTGGGCGCCTGATTGCTAAAACTTGAAACTATATTCCCTCGTTATCCAGATGGGTGCCTGATTACCAACAACTTGAATTGTATTCCCTCGTTATCCAGGTGGGCGCCTGATTGCCAGAAACTTGAATTGTATTCCCTCGTTATCCAGGTGGGCGCCTGATTACCAAAACTTGACTCTTTACTCCCTCGTTGTCCAGGCGGGTGCCTGATACCAAAAACTTGAAACTGTATTCCCTCGTTATTCAGGTGGGCGCCTGATTACTATAAAACAATCAAAATAAAAGAAATTTTTCTGCCCCAATTTGGGATCTGGGCATATTTGTGAGTGTTAATCGGATCATGTTACCTACAGAGCTCTAAGAATTTAAAAGCTAAATCTCATTATCCAGGAGGGCCCTGAAAACTTCGAATTAAATCTCATCTTAAGAGTGATAACTTTAAAGCTAAATTATATTTTCTAAAGGGAGAACTTACGCTGAAACTTAAAACTAAATCTCATTATCCAGGAGGGTCCTGAAAATTAAAAAAAAAAC